GAGCAGCTCATCCAGCTGGTGCTTTCCAGTGCTGCCTTTGCTCTTCCCCTGGCACTCGGGCTCCACCTTGGCCGTGGGACTGAGCAGCTCAGGGAGGGTTTTCCTTTTGCTCAAGGACAAAGCAGAGGGAAATGTTTATGGCAGGAAGGGAAGAGGATTCTGGCTGATCAGGAAGCGAGGGAGTTTGAGAGCAACGGCCGGAGTGAGGCGCCTCGTTTCACCCGGTTTGTGAGCAGCTGGATACCTTTGGCTTCATGTGGCTTGAGAGCATAAGCGTTGAAACAGCATTTGGTGGACAGCCTTGCACTCTGCTCTTCTAAACTGCAAAGCTGTGGAGGTTCTTCCTTCCCATCGACGTGGCCTAAGGCTTGTCCAGCTCAGCAAGTGCTTCCTGCTTGGTAATTCTCTCCCAGGCCTCAGGGATTTCTCCTTTACCTTGGAATTTCTTCCCGTGCAAGGTTTCTAGATCTGTCCTGAAATGAGACACAAACCATTTCCAGTAGGCTTGGGTGGATGAATCGGGAAGAATCTTCCAGTTGGAGAAAGGAGGTCCTGCATCCCGGTATCTCTTGTAGGGATAACTTTGGTCATTCCGCGGGATGAATTCATTTTCACTTGCAACACTGGTAGAACAAATATCAAGGTACAGCTCTTCTGTTCCCTCGAACCACCATCCAGTCAAGGCATTTGGTCGATGGAAGAGAAGCTGATGGTCCCCATCGTGTCCCTGCATGGTGTTTGTGCAGACAGCCCCACAAAAGGGACACTGCTCCCAGCACCCCGAAAACTGCTCCGCCAGGATGCTGTGAGGCTTCCTTTCAAACCAGCTCAGATCAGCATCAGGAAATTCTCCCCTGAGCTCTTCCTTCATGGCAGGCAGTGCTTCTTCCATGGCTTTGCTCAGGAACTCGATGTCTGTGATCTCCTGGTGCTCGAGGCTCTTCAGGTCACTTCTGGGCAAGTTGATCACCTCTGTCAGTTCCCTGCAAAATTCAGCCAGCCAGAGAGAGATTTTGTTCTCTCTGTCTTTTCTGTCTTTGACTGTTTGGGTTGATGAAGTAACAGCTGACAGGAGGTTTTCATAGAGAAGATCAAGGGAGAAATCTAAAAACCTCTCCAGCCTCCGGCTCTCACCTAAACAGTAACTCTCAACGCGTTTCTCAATGTACCACTGAAAAAACTTTGCTGGGTGTCGAAGGTACTGCTTGAAATACTGAAACTTTTCTTCTTGTGCCAGGAATCTCAGGATACAAACATCCAGATTGGCTCTGTTGCCCTGGAAATCTGGGACTTTCCCCTGCATGTCTCCAGCGATGGCTTTGGCCGTCCTCTCCCGGACGGCCCGGCGAAGAGCTGGACGAAGCTTGTCACAGAGGAAAACAGCAAAAGCTGTGACAGAAGTAGCTCCTTGGCAGGACATCTGGAAACACATGAAGTAATCTTCTCTCTTGCTGTTCAGGTATGTGACCGGGTCATTTGCCTTCTGGAACGCTTTGTGCATGGCTTTAAACCTTTCTGCTGCCTTTCTGCACAGGTACAGAGACAAGTCTATGATGTAATCTTTGTTAACACTAAATGATGCATGGCTGGGGATGGAGTTCACACCTTCCTGTACTTCACGGAGTATTTCATGAATAAAGGTTCGACTGTAATCCTGTTTCTCCTGTTCCTTCTTGTCAATGTTTTGCATCACACGCATTATGATGTTGTCTGTGATGTCCTGCAAATTCACATCAGCACTGAAAAAATTTAACTGGAATAATTTTTTCCAAACCTTTTTCTTTGTGACATGTTTCTTCAAGTCCAAGGGAAATTGTCCGTGTTTGGGAAATGACCTGATCCGCTCTTGGAAACCAGGCTCCTTAAAATGCTCCAGAAGGACATTTTCTATTTCTGCATCGATATCCACCCATTCCATTGAGGGAGCAGTACTAGTGACTTCAGCAATCCACTTGGCCCAGAGAGAAGTAAAGCTGTCTCTCAGCTGTGCCTCACTGAGGTTGTCACCTTTCAGAGTCAGAGCCAACTCCCTGCTCCTTCTCAGGAGCTTGTCTTCATATTCCGACTTCTTTGCGTCCAGTTTATTCTGGGTCTTCTGCAGTTCAATGAGATTCTTACATTTCTTTTGAGTTTCAAGAAGAAGATTCTCCTTTAGTTCTTTCAGCTTCAGCTCTGTGCTGCCTTTCCACTGGACCAGCATCTCACGGTCTTTGTCTTCCCTGAAATACTTTTCCATGTCTGTCACGATGGCATCACTTGTCTCTTGCACGAGCCCTTCAAGGTGTGCTCTGCTGACTTCCTGCAAGTCCCCGTTCCGAATTCTGTTGTCGAGTCTCATTTGTACCTCTAAGATGTGACTCCTCAGCCTCCAGGTCCACTGACTAAAGGCAGTTTCCAGTTTCCTGTACACAGCAATCTCCAGTGTATTCTTGAAGCTGAAAACAAAGTTCTCATTCAGCAAAGCATTCCAGAGGTCCCTGATACGGACTTTCAGGTTGGAGAGCCTCAAAACGCTGCCTTGTGACTCCTTGGCAGCCTGGAGAACTTTGCTCTTGAGCTGCTGGACGTTGTGGCTGTAGGTGGGGTTGGGTGGCGCCATTGGGGGGTTTCCTTCCCACAGGTGAGCAAAGTAGTGAATGTGGGTGTTCACGTCAAAGCGGATGACGTCGCTGAAGGAGGAGACGTCACAGGATTCCTGCTGGGCAGCTGCCAGGGTCATTTCATCCAGCTTCTCCTGCAAACGTCTTTGTCCTTCCATGTTCTGCTCCTTGGCAGTAACTTCTCCCACGTTTTGGTGGACAAAGAGGCAGCTGGGGGAAAGATTCACTTTCTTCATCCTCAGGAAAGCCTGCACGGCGATCTGAAGAACGTCCTGCATTTCCGAGGGATTTTCCCCGAAGATGTTGATCAGGGTCACGTTGCCGATGCCGATGACAAAGGTGGCCAGCTCGTTGTCGTGATTCAGGGACTGTTTATTGGCCATCTCTATGGCACGAAGCCCCTCTGTGTCAACAACCAGCACATAATCAAAGCCCACGTCCTGCTGCAGCTGCTCGTCCAGTGGAAGGAGCTGCATGAACGCTCCGCGGGTGCATCTCCCCGCGCTGACGTTGAACTGCAGCCCAAACATGGCATTCAGCAGGGTTGACTTCCCTGTGCTCTGGAGGCCGAGCACGGAGAGAACAAACACTCGTTTGTCCCCCAGCTGCTCAATTAGGCTGTCAAAGATTGCTCCCACCCAGCGCAAGGGCAGGTAAGAAGCGTCCCCATCCAACAGCTCCACGGGATACCCCGAAACCATCAGATCTGCTGCCATTTGGGGCAGTTTGACAACATTTTCATTCTTTGAGTTCATTAAGTCCAGAGCTTCATAGATCTGCCCTACCTCTCTCATAAGGTGCTCCAGGCCAATGGATGAATCATTGATTTCATCAGAGAGGGCATCCAATCTACACAGCAACTCAGGGTTCAGACTGGTTTTTTCCTTGCTTTTCTTTTTTTCCAGGATTTCAGACCATAACTTGTGATAGTCTCTCCTCAGATCTTCAAGGCGACCAGAGGACAGGTCATCCATGAAGACCTTCATCCAGTGCAGGAAGTATTTCTTGGTATCTGCTGGCTGTGACTGGAGGAAGCCAAGGAATGGTTTCATCAGCCGATTGAGAGGGAAAGCTTGCTTTCGTTGCTTTCTTCTTATTGCTGCCTTGTCTAATTCAATTTGGCTCCGATGGTGCTCGATGCTCCTGTTCCCCTTCTCCTGCAAGCGAGTGAGTTCTTTGTCCTTTTTGCACCACTGGTGCCACAGTTTTCCTTGAAGAGGCAGGAGCTGGGATTTGATCTCAGACAGCTTCTCTTCCTTCAGAAGGGTCACCAGCTCCTTTGCCTTTGCTTTGGCTGTCACACACTCGGGTCGATCTTCATCCACCAAGAATCCGTGCTGGCGAGCTTTGTCCAGGCAGGCGTCCAGGCTGAAACGTGGGTTGGACCCTTCCAGGAGATTCCTGATTATTTTGGTGAGCTCGTCCAACATTTCTGCTTCGTTCCTGTTCTTGATCCCTATTGTTATGGTTTTGCTGGATTGTCCAGCTGCAACCTTCTCTCTGTCAGTGAGAAGACAAACCAGGGGCCTTTGTGACTGCCACAGGTCACGCAGCAGCTTTCTCCCTCTGTTGTCCTTGTGCTCAGACTCGGATACAAGAGCCACGTTCACAGCAGAGATGTCCTGCAGGAACTGCAGCTGCGCTCCGTGATCCCTGGCGTCTCCATGCAGGTTACAGAAAGCCACACAGCGCTCAAAGGTGTCATCGGGGCTTCCCCGGGGACAGTACCAGGCGATCTCCACAACACCTGCCATCAGCAAACACTCTCTGGTGCTGCCTCGGCAATGGCGGTGGAAAAAAGTGTTGTGTCTTTGTTTGCTCAGCAGAGCATTGAGGAGGTGGGACTTGGAAGAGGAGGCAGAGGTGCCGATGCGGATGAAGGACACGATGGGCGTCTCTGCCTGGTGAATGAGTTTGTTGTTGTAACTGCGCATTCCGGGCTGCCGTCCCGACTTCTCCACCTCTTTCCAGCTCCTTTTGATGTGGCTGAGGGCCCAGAGCGGGAACTCGACCTGGGCAGTGCCCGGCGTGGGCACCAGCAGAGGCAGCGCCAGTTGGCAGAAGGCGAGCTTGGTTGCAATGGACTGTCTCAAGAAGTCATCAGCACAGTGGAAAATTGCCATCTGGAGGTCCATGGGGTGCACGTGGCTGTCCCTGCTTGTAGGTTCAGGGGCTGCTTCCTCCAAATCATTTAGAAAGTTTTCAAAGGAGTCTGAGGGTTCGTGCTCCTGCTCGGTGGTTTCTGGCACGGGGGCAAGTCCTGGGTTAGTCCCATCCCTGCAAGTCAAGTACCTCACCTGATAATCCACGGTTAAGAGCTTCTGCAAGAAGTGAAGTGGCAGTTCCTGGTCCTCGCTGGGCTGGCTGTCGAGCAGAGATGTCTTGCAGATGGTGCGGAAATGTCCCGTCCCCATTTTTCTTGGATAGTGACTTTCTAGTCCAAGGCGCTTGAGCAACTGGAGGAACTCTTGGTTTGCAGCGGCTTCATTTGCTTTGGGTTCACTGGCACCTGACTTGGATTGGGACTGACTGGAAGGCTCACTTGTTTGGAAAGTGTCTTCCATGTCTTTGAGTATGGTCTGCATCCTCTCATCATCCTCCATTTCCTCCAAGCTCCCACTGATGAAGGAATTCAAGTCACGCTCCAGCATCTCCCAGTCTTTGCACTCCCTGTGCTTCTGGAGGAGATTCTTTATCCCTGTGGACCACAAGCCTTCCATGTGAGCTTCCATGAAAACTAAACGCTCCGTCTTCTGCTGCGGGGACAGCTCTTTGCTTTGGGGTGTGACGGTCAGACCCGTCAGCAGAAGGGAGGCCTCAGCTCTGTCAGCATCTTGCTCCTTCAGATTCACATACTGCTTGTGTGCCACCTCCATTGCCTCTGCCAGGTACTGAATTTCTGGGTGGCCAAGGAGGTGCTGAAAAGTGCCACTTTCCACCTGGTACCCTGTGCTGGTCGCAATTAAGAGCAGCAGGAGTTCCATGTCCTTCTGAGCCCTGTCCTGGAGAGACCGGAGTAAGGAATAAATTGCGAGGCCTGTGGTCAGGGTGGCTTCTCTCTTTGCTTCCTGGATGGCAGAAGCAGAGGTTCCTGCTGCGTAGGTGACAGCATGGATGTGCTCCATCATTTGCTGCAGTGTCTGCAGGAGCTCTTCAAGTTCAGAGACCCTGGGAGTTTTGGGAAGCCTGTGGTCAGTCTGGAAGATCCATTGCATAACGAAGGAAGACTCGGGGAAGTCCCTGACAGAATAGATATGAGGATGCAGGAGGCTCTCCAAGATTGCCTTGACAGAGGTGGAGTTTTCTGGAGGTGACTCCTGGCAACTCCTCACGGTGTTCACCAGGAGGTCCTGCAGGGCTTTGTCCGACAGGCACATGTTGATCCAGACTCTGGGGTCCTTGGTCTTTGCACCCAGATCCCGTTTCAGATCCATCAGCATGAGCAGTTTCCTTTCATCCACCGTCCCCTCCCAGGTCCTCACAATCTGCATGAAATCTCTGGCCTCTTCCACTGCACTGGCCAGTTCCTCTCCAAAGGTGGTGCCGACGCTCTGATTCGTCAGCGCTTTGTACGCAGCCCTGAGGGCGCGGCTCATTCCATAGACACACTGAAAATCCCTGCTGTGATTGCACAGGATGAGCTCCCACACCGGGATCAGCTGGGAGCCGCGGTCGATAACGCACCACGTTGAGTTACTGCACTGGAGCCCCGTTTTCCACTGAGGGAGAGAATCGCTCTCTGAGGGGCCCCCTGTGGTGAACACGTGAAGCTGAACCGCTGTGTGGGAGCTCTCTCCGGCTCTGCCCTGGACAGAGGCCTG